AATAAATTGGTAAAACATTATAAAAAATGGAACAAATTTCTACCTTGCTTCAGTTAATTTAGTTTATGCTTTGTGATGATGTATGTAGAGATCTATTTATATTTACATTGTAATAGGCTTCTTTACCTCCCTTTTCTTCTTCTTTTTTTTTTTTTGTGTGTAACCCTTTTCAATGTAAAATTGTAAAACTAGCATTACAGTATCTCTTTGCTTGTCCATTGCACAACTTACATATAAAAACAATAAAATACAAAAAAAAAAAAGAAAAAAAAGAAATGAGACATCACTCAAATTTTAAGAGAGTATACAACAAGAAGGTTAACACAACTTATATCAAGCCCTTACTTGTTTCTATTTTCTTCATAGTTTGTGCGCTTGATGCATGTGACATTACAGCTGTAGTTGTGCAGTTAGAATGCGTAGAAACAGTGGTGTCCTTAAATAAAATTATGTTCCTTATTTACTATTTGGAGCTGTTTTTCTATGATTAAAAAGGCTTCTTATTTCTCCTGGCAGTGCACAGAAACATTTGAAACAGAGATGTGGATTCCAGGTGTTGTCAACATGGAAGTTTCAATATAAAAATATTTTGAAAGGATTCATAAGAATAAATTTACTGTCTCACTGAAATAAAAGTAATAAACAATGAAGCAAAGGGGCTGAATGTTGAATATAATTACAGAAACATTTCTGCAGGCAAATTAGGTTTAATTGTCGAGCATTAAGGTATCTCTAAACCCCATGTACATGTAGAAACTATTTTAAACTTTGCCAAAAATTGTCTTATCCTTTTTAAGCAAAAATCCAGTAATAATGGGGGTCACTGGGCTCATGTTCAACTTATTAGCTTATTGCTATGGTAATCTATTGTATCATGAAAACAATACATATGCGTTCACCAATGATTGGGGAGTTTTTTGATACCATGATTGTAGCATCAGCTGGTAGTGGTAGTTCTACAGTACTTAATATAATATTAGGTTGAGTGTATGATGTCATCAGGCATTCATTTGCATATTTTACACATTTTTCAAACTTAAATATCTCCGGAACTAATGCAGATATTTGCAAATGGGAAACAGCGTTTTTGTCAGGGCAATTTTTTCTTGATTTATAAAGATTTTCGTAACAATTTTTCTCTCCCTCTAAAATTGCGAAGGGATCTGCAAGGCTGTTGCCTAAGGAAATTTTTGAGGAGCCCTTTGGGCTCCTAACTTCAAAAGTTAGGAGCCCAAGCCACTTTTTTAGGAGCCCAGAATAAAT